GCACCCGTCCTGTTGAATTCTTGTTCGTGGCGCGGTGATATCAGTCACAGGCTTGAGGGGAAGTTAAGGCCGTTGTGATGTGATACTTCATACCTCACCTCAGCGCCAGCAGGCTCTGTGCTGGTATTACGGATTCTCATGCAAGACTCCTGCCACATGTCCTCGTCGTGCGCAAGGGATAAAGGCTCACCGCTGTGACCTGAACAATGCTGGCAGGTGATCTCTGGTTATCCCCAGAGATGTGGTGTCCATGTTGCTCTCACCCCCCCCCCCCATCCCCCATGCACGAGTGAAAACATCTATCAAAACTTATTTGCAACATTAAAAAAGTTCGCAATCGAATGAAAGAACTGCACAGACTCAACCATAGACCAAGCAATCTGTTCCAAGCTTAGACTAGCAAGATCGCCTGTAAGCGGTTTCTCGTTGTACAGTCTATGTACATCCGTTGCCGACCACGACAATATGTCAGTCTGTTGATTAGGGCCAAGTGTCCGTCAGATTCCATTTCAGATTCTGTTGGGCATATTAGCGTGAAGGATGAACGTATCACTACCAAGTTCACGCGATTCTCACAGACCGGGCAGTGCGCTGGGGACCGGACAAAAGCGACGGAGAAACGGGTTTTCGGGGAGGGGGGGGGGGGGGGGGGGGGGGTTGGCTGAGAGACTTGGATAAGACTTGTGGTGTTTGACCTTTAGCTGTTTCTATATTTGACTTAAGTCAGCGGCGTGTATTTTGTGATAATGTGTTAGCTCAATGGTGGTATAATTTTAAATGTCAGTCTGTGTTAGAGAGAGAGAGAGAGAGAGAGAGAGAGAGAGAGAGAGAGAGAGAGAGAGAGAGAGAGTCTATTGTATTTAGTTATACTAGGTATTCTGTGTGTTAGGCGAGATGGTTCACAAAAAGGGTTTGTGTTTAAGTTACGTCGGTCTTTGCACTCGCACTAACCAGAGCCATGCAAAAGCATAGCACTCCCATTATAAGATGCAGAAGCATAGCAGTCCCATTATAAGATGCTGTAGCGTTGGAAAAAGCTTCGTTCGGAGGCTGTTGTTGGTTCGGACCCTGGTCACAGCCGTATGGTCCTTTGTCAACTTAACTTGCTCCTTTTGTTCTTCCACAGTGGTGTAACTATTCCTTTATTAATCTGTATAATCTTTCCTACGCAGAGGAATCTAAGTAAAAATTTGAGAGTGGAGAGGAATAACAAACTACTTTACAAAAATACTATTACTCGGCATACCAAACGGCCACGATGCGTTGTTAGCAACGTGTTACTAAGGACCAAATTGAATCCAAACAGATGGTCGTAAACGCAATGGTCACAACCAATGAATATACATTTTTCTAGGAAAACGACACATAATCAATTTTGTTAGAAATAAGAATATAGTTAATACACAACAATTCACTGTTTATCGTGTAATTTATAAGAATCACTATTATTTATTGCCAGAAAGAGCAAGAAGCTTTACGACACTAAGTTCTATTTGTGGTACCATACTTGTTGACGGTTGAAAAGCGTGTTCCAACGCAGAGGTAAGTTTGGCAGATGTTTATCGCTTGAAATTCTTCCCTAATTTTGTTTATACATTAATTTATGTATAATAGCACATAGATAACTCTCTTTGTTTATATTTTGACCGGAGGCAGATTCCGCAGTCACTTTAATTGTAAGGTTAGCATTTTGGATTCAGCGACGGAGTAATCGACTTTTCACTTTCACTCCGTACTTAACTTTCTTTCGTAGAATTAGATTAGCTAGCTTAGTGATGCTAGTGAAGTGTTATATATATATATATAAGCTGTCGCTGCCGACATATTTATTTGAATTCATTCTCAGAAGGCGAAGGTGGCCGCAGTTGAGTTAAGTCTTTGTTGTTTATCACTATCAGAGAATTAGAGGCTCTCCTTTAACTACGGCCGGTAGACAACAGTAGATAGACGGCCGGTTAGTCGGAGTTCTGTCCCCTGGCTGCAGTGCAATTACGGACTGGAGAAGACACGAATCAGAAAACACAGTGAGGTCGACATGCCTGGCAGACCCCGCGCTGCGACTCACATTAGCGACCGCGTTCACTTACCGCTTCTTGCGACGCATTACGGTGTGGAATAGAGGGAATGAAACAAGTGACATAATTACTGTGTGTTGGCGATAAACAGTGTGCAGTGCCCTACTGTCATCATACGGTTTGGGTTAGGGTTTGGGTTGCTACTATGAGTTTATGCAGCGACACTAACCGTAACCCTAACCCACACCCTAACCCTATACCTAACCCACACCCTACCCCTACCCCTAACATAAACTGTAACTGTATGATTTTAGCAGGGCAGTGAACGCTGTCTATCGCCAACACACAGTAATTATGTCATTTGTTTTGTTTCGTTCACTCCTTTCCACTCCGTAATTGCACTGCAGCAAGGGGACAGAACTCTGACTAACCGGCCGTCTACTGTTGTCTACCGGCCGTAGTTGAAAGGAGAGCCAGAGAATTTAATGATAGTTTGTTATTTTTTTTTGTGTGTCTTTCTTACTGATACGAGGGTGTAGCCCAGGTGTCGGGCTTTTGTTTCTATATATTATTAGGTATTTGTCTTACTCTTCTCCGGTGGCTTGAGTTATGGATTTGTTCATTTTTTTTGGCAGGTTTTAGCACACCCTTTCCATCTCTTTCTTGAACTTCATCTCATATTCCTTCCAGAAGTTACGCTATAAAAGTAAAAGATCTCATATGCCGTCTAGTCGGGTTGCAATCTCACTAGATAGATGACAACCATTTCATTCTTTGTCAGTAATCCAGACATGGTTTTATTCCAACTTTCTTTCTAATTCTGGTATTTGTAACCCTGTTTTGTCTAGTGTTGTTAGTGATCTTGCAGAGATAGATAGTGCATTTCTGTCACATGTAGATTAGTTTATTTTCTAGTGCCCTATTCAATATTCATTATCCATGTTTGGCACAGATACCATAAAGTATGGATAAAGATTAAGATGCTATTAATAATTTGCTGTTTTGCTGGAAGGGAGACATTTTGTTGTCTAAGCAGTAGGTGACAGCATTTGCCTTTAGTACTCTCACTTCTGTCTCTATCTAATCTGCCATCCTCTGTATATATGTTCCCTTAGCTAGATATTTGAATTTTCATTACTTGATTGACAGTAGTACCATTAACATGAGCCTTCATGGCATTATGCTTCCTGCCTATCCTCATTACCTCAGTTTTGTGTGTGTTTATTCTCATATCATTCGGTGTGCAGGTTTAGTGTAAGGAGTCATCAAAATGGTGTTAGAAATTCTGTTCTTAGTGGTGTATTAGAGAATTAGACATTAATCCTTTGCAAAAAGAAGTTAATTTATTTCTGCAGTGTCTCTATTTGCCTCTTGTGATATTTTATCCATGTAAGTAATGAATAGCAATGGTAAGATGACACATCCCTGTCTGACACCTGATGAGATGGGAAACCAGTCTGTCATTCCTTCTGTTCTTACTGTGCACTGACTGTCTTGGTAAAGAACAATGATGTTACCCAACAGTTGATCTTGAATGTTATTGTTCCAACAGCTCTTTTAATCTCCTCATTTCTGATGCAACGTCTTCTGTTTTTGTTCTTCTCACATGATGTTTGGTTTTGTCCCAGTCTGATAGTTAGAATAAAAATCTCATTCATAATTTTTATTTTTATCTCTGTTGGACAAGACAGAAGGAAAATAGTCACAACAGAAATGAAATGTCCACGTACTATGCTAGGTGTAACGAGGAAAGATTGACTTAGGAACGATAATAGGAGTAGAATCAGCACAGAACCAATACCAAACTCTATAGGTAGACAACAAATCAAATGGTTTGGCTATTTAACAAGATTGGCAGCAGACAAGGCCCCACAGAGAGCAGTGTTATACAGATACAGTGGTAACAGACCCAGAGGTTGCCCACTCAGAAGATAGACCACAGACAAGAAATATCAGACACTGAAAAGTAATTTATACGAAGTGAACAAAAGGACCGGTTCTAGAGATCTCCTCCTGCCCTTATGCTGCGAGGGATTTCAGGAGTAGAGAAAAGAAGGAATATCTGTATCTGGGTGTTGCAAGAATGGAATTGTTGGTTGATGTGTCACATTGTTGGCTTGTTAGATTCTTTTTTCTGTCTGTCTAGTTATATGTAAAAATTGTCCCAAGGTTTTTAAATTCTTGCTTATGGTAAGGTCAGTGAAAGTTATTTCAAGAGGATGCTAACCCCCCCCATCTGACCAGGTCTGTCTCTGAAGAGCAGCTGTCAGCCTGTCAAAAGCTTCACACATAACACTAATTTCATAACAACTGTAGTGGCAGTCCTTAGGGATCTCCCCAACAAATTGCATCTGTGAACTGAATGATGCCGTCTGAAAACAGGTCCATGTCCTTTAAAGAATGCATCAAATGTCTTCTCAGCTTTGTCATGAAAACCACCAAAAGTAATTTACTTTAACATGATTAATTTAACTTTTTTTTTTTCTTCTTGTGTGCATATAAAAACCTGATCATCAAGTGCCCAGGGCCTGGATTATACTTCCTCACATCTTGTCATCTAGAGCAGCTTATTAATATTATTGTGAGTCCTTTGCAGAAGATCGGCTCTGTGGCTAAGTCGATGCGAATGCTTCGTAATGCCGGGATGCCAGGTTCGGTCCCAGCTGCAGGCCATGCGCCTTGCGTTGGTTTCGACAGTGGTATCAAGAAAGCCGACTGTCCAGAAAGCAATGGCAAACTACTGGACGTAAATTTGCCTAGAAAAACCGCACAACAGCCAGGCGCTGTTGGGGCTGGTTCTGCAATGTCCTGTAAAGGATACGCAACTAACCTATCCTTTGCAGAACACATCAGGGCAGGCTGTGAAGCTGCTAGTCCTTTACCAGCTTTCCTGCCTCATGAGCTTTCATGTCCAGGGTGTTTTTGATATCTATAGGTAAATTGTGTGTTTATAATTTGTTTTAGATCTCATAACAACACTCCAGAATGAAGATTGAAGAAGTGAAAAGTACATCAAAGGCACAGAGAATTGCCTCTCATAGTCACATCAAGGGGCTGGGACTAGATGAGAATGGATACGCTATACAGTCATCAGCAGGGCTTGTTGGGCAGGAGCTGGCGCGGGAGGTAAGCAATAATCTAGTCATTAATTATAAACTGATTTAGTTTGTATAGAGTTACGACATACCTCATCTCAGGCACCAGCAGGTTCTGGCCTGGTTTTATGGATCCTCATGCAAGACTCCTTCCACACGTCCCCATATCAAAGTCAAGGACCAGCACGCTGCTCGCTGCTGATCACCAGAGGGTGCAGCCCATGACTAGTAGATAGCTCAGCATATGGATGTGAGGTTAAGCAGTCATGTGCCGGACATGATGATTGCTTGGGTGAACCCAAGATCAGAGCATCATGTGTCAGCTCTGCGGTGAATGCCCTTGAGGGCCAAGTCTACATGTGGATGCTATGGACAGGGTGTCCAGGTGCAACACAAATAAAAAAACACCATGTCCTCCCTCAAAACTGTTCAGGAAGTTAACCAGGTCAACAAATGCACAATGAAGTCGTATGTGTTGGTCGAAAGGGTCAAATATTGCAGCTCTGCTGTAAACAGACACAACTCATTTACTTCACTCAGACGAACAAAAGAAAGATAAGCTGATTTGAGTGTAATAGCACCTGGATTTGTAAAACAGATGCACATGCACGACTCAAGTCCTGGAACAAATCTAAAGTCCAGAAGTGGATGAACAACCAGGTCTTTCTGCCGGGCTTTACAGCCACTGAACACAAACAACACACCTTCAGACTTATTGGGCATATAGAGCTAGAGCTATATCTTATACAGCAGTCGACACTCAATGGGTGGCGTCATCATCATCACGTTGGACACCTTTACTTCCCAGGAGCTTTACCAGGTACTCATTCAAGGCTGGGTTGACCTGGGGGTCTAGGTCATTTTCTAAAAAAAAAAAAGTCAGGGTCCATTTGGATTTAAACCCACAAAGTTCATATTTGCAGGCTCCCTAACAAAATTTATACCAGGAACTTTTCTGGAAAGTACAGACAGTCTACATGGTGGTGACCACTTACCCATAAAGTGCTGACTAATCTTAAAAAAAATGTATGCCAAGTACCACAATCCTAGTACCACAATCCCAGTGCCACAATCCCAATGCCACAAAAATAGCCTTTACTTAAAAAAAAGCAATGTTTTTCGGGTTTTTGAAAGTTAAATCTGAAAAAGGTACAAATTCACAAGAATCTCCTCCTTTTGTTTATTTGTCCAAAGGACACCCTGGGGAATATTCCACTTAATGCTTCTCTGTCTTCATGTCAGTTCTCTAAAAGTGCTGTAATGATGTCTTTGAAGCTAAACTACCTGTGTAATCATTTTCAGGCTGCTGGTGTTGTGGTGGAGTTGATCCGGTCCAAGAAGATGTCAGGGAGAGCAGTTCTTCTGGCTGGTCCACCAGGAACAGGCAAAGTATGATATTTAATGTAGTCCAATTCTATATTTAATTAGTTTTTTGTTATCCGATCTGACACCGATGTTTTTCCATAGACTAATTACATGTAGGATGTCTCTGTTTACATTAAAACAAGAACAAAGTTTCACTTCTGATAAAATTGAGAGAGCAGTGCATTGCTGTTTTGCAGCATTATGAAAGCTTGATGACAGATATATCAAGGTATTGAAAGTGGAGTGGCTTGATGAGACAACTTTAAAGCTAGCCTGTGTATCAACTAAGCTGAAGATTATAATGAAGGATTAACATATTATATTAATACAATATTTGTACATTTATATTGGTTGTTTGCTATTGTTAAGGTTTGAGTTTAGGAAAGTTTAGCCTAGAAACTATTATTCCGCTTACAGAAACTAGTTGATCATTTTTAAAAAGAGTACATTTGGGGGGGGGGGGGGGGGGGGGGGGCCGGGTTTTGGGAATATCTGAGAAGGGGGGGTGTCCTGTGAAATTATGAACCAGAAGACAGGCCGCAGTTTTGTGTGAATATCTTAGGAAGGGGGAAATTTAAAGTGTCCTGACAGTTGGAATTAGAGGCAGGGGAGACAGACATTGTTTGGCTTCATTACATTGAGAGGAACATCTGAATCAGAAATTATTAGCGGTACTCGAGACAGGATGTTAAGGACAGGCATAATAAATTATGCAACAGATGTGCACTTAATCAAAGGCTAAGGCTGTACTATAAGGTTGTATGCAGATGTCACCAGAAAATTACCAGCATTGGCACAGACACTTGGAAAAGATCAGCTGCTATCTCCTATTGAGGCAGACATTGAAAGACGGACTGTCCCGCTTTTCTAGAAGCCAAGCCCAGCACACTATAGAGAGGAAAAAACCAGCCTCAGGTAAAAGGTTTTTATGTGGATTGTGCCGATGCTGTTCCCAAAACAAGCAGCACAGCTCCAAAGGACTGACGGTTGCCCACATAACGTACTGTAAAAACATACTCTACATCCTCACTGGACTCAAATTGTGTTCATGCTAAACAAATATTCTTGTTAACAGGGTTTCAGTGTTAATTAAAACGAACTCTTATTGTACCTTCAACAGACTGCCATAGCGTTGGCCATTGCTCAAGAGCTCGGCTCCAAAGTACCTTTCTGTCCAATGGTCGGTAGCGAAGTTTACTCTTCAGAAATAAAAAAGACAGAAGTTTTGATGGAGAATTTTAGGAGGGCTATTGGACTTCGCATCAAAGAAACCAAAGAAGTTTATGAAGGAGAAGTGACAGAACTAACACCTGCAGAGACTGAGAACCCTATGGGAGGTGAGTAGTATCATTAGTAGTTGTAGTTTATGCATGAAAGTCTTTTATTTCCTGTAGACATGTTCATGTTTGGTTGGGAAAGAGACTGGTGCTGAATAGGACACACTGAGATTGTTTCCCAGCCACCCTGTGAAAGCTAGCTTTCTGACATTTACAGGTTTTTGATGACATGATGTCTGTGGGTTGTAGCCAGTATTTGTTTGTAACGACTTTGGTCCCGATTGCAGCTGTAAAGTGTGTAGATGTGGTAGATATGATTATGTATATAAGGTTAGTGACGTATTCTTTACAGGACATTGCAGAACCAACCCTAACATCCCCTGGCTGTTGTGTGGTTTTTCTAGGCAAATTTATGTCCAGTAGTTTGCCATTGCTTTCTGGACGGTCAGCTTTCTCGATACCACTGTCGAAACCAATGCAGGGCGCATGGCCCGCAGCTGGGATCGAACCCGGCATTACGAAGCATTCGCATTAACTTAGCCACAGAGCCCCGACATTATGTATATAAAAGTAAAATGAAAAAAAATATGATATACTTTGGATATGAAGAATAGTGATTTTGTGGCCATTATGATTAGGGCTGTACCGAATAGTGGTTTTCACTATTCGGCCGAATACGAATAGTGGGACCAACTATTTGGCCGAATACGAATAGTGTATCATCATTATCAGGTGCCTCGCCGACTGGTGTGGCGATTTTGCCTCGCCACAATCTGCGATCTCCTGCAGCATATATCAGTTTGTGTGCTGACACACCTCCATGACATGCAACGACTGTCAAGAATCTTCTCTCGTCTTTTTCTATCTCTCCTTCCACAAATCTTTCCAGTGGTCACCACATGTTCCATTTTCACTCTTTCTATATGATGACTGTCTTCTTCTGATGTCTGCGATTAGTTGTCTTCGGGCTCCCGCCTCTTTCAAAACCTAGTGGTTGCTTTTTTTAAGCTGTCCAAGGTATTTTAAGCATTATTCTGTAAAACCACATCTCTGAGGCCTCAAAAAATTGTTTGGCCTGGCTACCGATTGTCCAGGACTCATAGCCAAATGTTAAAACTGGATGTATGTAGCAAGCAAGACAACGATATATTGCACAAGATGTTCTTTTTAAAAAATATAAAATGCATTTTTAGCCTGTCCTATTTTGTTTTTTATTTTAGTAATGCACCTTTCATCTGATTTTATCCTATCCATGTGCCAAATTCGCATTTAAATCATTTTTTGTTCAGGCGTTCATTCAATGTAATTTAAATGCACCTTCATATTCTCGTTTGCAATATCTTCAATTTGTTTTGTTAAAAGACACCCCGAAAGAACAAAAAAATGCTTGCTTTCTCTTTGTGTCTCCCTCTCTCTCCCCCTCTCTCTCTCTCACACCCCCCACCCCCCCCACACACACACACACACACACACACAGATACAGATACACTTTCAAGTTTCTTCATGCCTTCTTTAACACAACAGTAGCGATGCCTAAATCTTTCGTAGCGGGAAAAACGGCGACCCGTTTGCGTGGTAACAGCGCATGACTCCGAAAATTACAGTAGAGGTTCTAAAACTGGGTGCGTAGACAGGGGTGCCTCGGCGAAAATCAAGAAAAGTCGGCTATAAATTGTGACATTATTAATGAGAGAGTTATTTTAGTCCATCGCAGTGTATACAGAAATCACTATTCGTATTCGGCCCAACCGCCACTATTCGGCCGAATACCGAATAGCTAGTAGGTCCACTATTCAGCCCTGAAGCGAATATTCGATACAGCCCTAATTATGATGCCATAATAAACTAATGATATCACTGTGTTTTCTATGGCAGTCAACAAAACTCGTTCTCTTGGTCAAAGAAAAATCAAGCAGCTATTTTTCTGCTGCCTCAGTATTCAGCCTTTACTTCCTTTCATCTAAAAAAAAACAACACTACCTTTGCACTCTAAATGTGAAAAATCTCTTTTGGCCATGATAACACAATAGCTAGGAGGCTTACCTGTCTGCTTGGTGGTCATAGGTTTGAATCCCTGCATTTTTATAACAAAAAAGGCTAAGATTCTAAATTGCTTCTGCTCCTCTTCCTCTGATTTCTGAGGGTAGAGTTACAGGGAAATGTTGTATTGCGTAAGGTCCATTTTATTGATTTTTACAGGGCAAAATGGTTAAAAGCTTAACAAGATCATACTGTGGAGGAAATGGGAAGAGCTGCATGCCGTAGCAAAGGATAAGAATGCCTTGGCGTGAGTTGGTTGAGGACCTGTGCTCCATTGGGGGTTAGAAAGGCATAAGTATAAGAATAAACAGTATGGCATGTGGTGGGTAAAGTTGACACTGTTAAGAAACCTGGCCTCAGATGGTAGTTGTTCATGTGTAGGTGCTAGCCATCTCTTCTTAACAAATTCACTTGTCAAGCACATCACACAGATAGATACACTGCAGATGGTCTCAATTATCTAATATTTTTTTTCAAAAATCGCATCTTAAATAAAAATCTGAAAACTCAAAAAGAGGTGAACAACAGTCGGGTACTTTTCATATAAACCCGGGAAACCACCAGTAAACATGAATGCTAATAGCTCTTCCTCTGTGCAATATCTTGACTTTAAGGCCCAGCACATCTCCCGATTGTAGCAAGCTGTTAGTAGGTTGCCTGTTACAGTGTGCTGGTGAAGGGATCGTAGGTATCTTCTTCTATCCCTAAATTTGACATTAAGAGTTAAATATTTTAAGTTAAGTACTAGTTTACCTACTATGCTAGGGGGCAACGAGGAACAATGATATCAGGAGGAGAGCACAGAACCAATGCTGGCTCAATAGGTAGACAACAAATCAAATTAATGGTTTGGCCAAGTAACAGGAGTCGACTACGCAGAATATGGATTGCAAGAATATTAGAGACACTGAAGAGTACTATTATACAAAGTGAATAGAAGGACCCGTTCCAGAGATCTCTTCCTGCCCTGACGCAGCAAGAAATTTCAGGAGTAGAGACAAGATGAAGAAGAGTACTAGTTAAAATATCCTTTAACTTCCCTCGATATCCCAGTGCTATAGAAAATCCTCTTGCTTTTCGTATAATTTTATCTGTATCAGTTCCTCCTTCTCTATCTGCATTACTGCCAAAATAAGTGTTTGACTCTACATCTGGGAGTGGGATGTCATCACCACGAAAAATGGGATTGCTGTTTCTCTGGTGTAATCTCATTGTCGTCTTTGTGTGTTTTCCATATCAATTTGTTGGACCTTGTCAGAAAAGTCTCTTACCCATTGTATAAAGTTGGACAGACTTCAGAGACCTACTGATCGAAGCCAGTTCACATGACCAGCAGTTGAACCAGAAGCCAGTTCACATGACCAGCAGTTGAACCAGAAGCCAGTTCACATGACCAGCAGTTGAACCAGAAGCCAGTTCACATGACCAGCAGTTGAACCAGAAGCCAGTTCACATGACCAGCAGTTGAACCAGAAGCCAGTTCACATGACCAGCAGTTGAACCAGAAGCCAGTTCACATGACCAGCAGTTGAACCAGAAGCCAGTTCACATGACCAGCAGTTGAACCAGAAGCCAGTTCACATGACCAGCAGTTGAACCAGAAGCCACTACATAAACAAGTGCATTAACAGTGACTGTCGAAGCGATTTGGGGCTTGATTTCAGTAGGTGATTACTTTATTTCTTTACATGACTCATTCCTTCCAGGCTATGGGAAAACAGTAAGCCACGTTGTCATCGGTCTCAAGACTGCCAAAGGAACTAAACAGCTCAAATTGGATCCCTCCATCTACGAGAGTTTGCAGAAAGAGAAGGTGGAAGTTGGTGACGTCATCTACATTGAAGCAAACAGTGGAGCAGTCAAGGTATTACACCAATGTACAAGTCATTAGTTACTATTGTTTCTCTTTTTGATTGCTTTGCAGATAGCTCACATTAGACATTTCTTTGTACATCTGTTTGTCTTCTGTATCACCTTTGATGTGGTCATCGTCATGAGGGCGGTCATGGTTTGCCAGCTAACATGATCACCAGGATCACAAATCTGTTCTTATTTCACGTCTTTTACCTGGCACGGCCACACTATATATAATTTTAATTGTTTGTTTTGTTGTTGTTGCTAAAGTGACTGTTTACTTAAATGAGACACTTGTAAATATCACGGTGAACAGAAATTTTACTGATTATCAGACTAGATATTCCTGCCCCTGTTGTTTTAAATTGTAATGCAGGGTGCAATGGTGAACCACCGCCTGCTGTAGTCAGGACCTACCTACCTACACCTGTTTTTTGGCAACCTAGAAACAGGTTCTCTACCTGACCACCGTAGAAAGAATTTACATTTCTTTTGAAGTAGGAGCGCATCTGCCAGGGAACCAGCTGTGAGATCTGTAAAACATCCTGACATGGACAAACAACCAGGGCTTTCAGTTGGAATTCACAGCATGGGAATGCAGAAGAAAAAGAATATATTGTCATGTTAATTCTGTATTTACCTTAATTAAACACTTAGAACACATTATAATCAATCCCCCGTGTGGGTTCCGGGGCCCCATCGTGGGGAAAACAAGAATAGACCCTCTGCCTACCCAAAAATATGTCGTCAGAGTCGACTAATTGGGGAGCTTCCTTTGAAGTCGGAGTGCATCTGCCTGAGAGGCGAGGAACCAACAGTCTGCATTCAAGTGAATCAGATCTGTAAAACTGATGCACACGCAACACTCAGGTTCTGGAGCAGGACAGCAGTTCAGAAGTGGACGAACAACCAGAACTTTCCACCAGAGTGTACAGCTGGTGAACGAAGAAGAAGACTGGATGTACTGCTTTCATATTTTAAATAAACCTGGAGGGTAGGTTCATTTGCTGGAGTGATAAACTTAGCTTGTTGATTTGTATGATGTCTGGGCGTCATCCTGTCTTTCTTTCTTCTGCATCTATAAGTGTCAGTAAGTACCATTACAATTTGTTTATCATAATATTTCATTGTTAAAGCTCCATTAACTTGTTTCTTTTTGCATTATCTTAGCGCCAAGGAAGGTCAGACAACTATGCCACAGAATATGATTTGGAGGCAGAAGAGTATGTTCCCTTGCCTAAAGGTGATGTACATAAAAAGAAAGAAGTCATCCAAGATGTCACCCTTCATGATCTGGATGTAGCCAATGCTAGACCCCAGGTTTGACATGTCTGTTGCTTTTGTCTTGATTGAGTTTTACAGCTCTTTTAGGGGTGTTGTATTTTATGGACTGTGAGATGCTACGTACAGAATAACTAACAGTGATTGCCTGGAAATGGCTGGTGAAAGTAGAACATTACATACAACAACCAGAAGGAGACAAAGTTCTCCGATCATGTGATGAGAAAAGGAGCACTGGAAAATATTATGACAACCGGAAAGATCACTGGTAGCAGAGGTAGACCAAGAGAAAGATGGTGGATGGAGGGCTTAAGACAGTAACATACAGGGATATCATCAGTAGAATTTATCCAGAATACCAAACACCAAGATCTGTGGAGATGCATGAACGCCTCACCAGCTGGCCGCCACCATGACCGACTACATGATGATAACTACATCAAAGGTGATATAAAAGACAGATGCACAAAGAAATGTCTAATGTCAGCTATCTGCAAAGCAATCAATAAGAGAAACAATGGTAACTAATGATTTGTACATCAGTGTAATACCTTGAATGCTCCACTATTTGCTTCAATGTAGATGACGTCACCAACTTCCACCTTCTCTTTCTGCAAACTCTCGTAGATGGAGGGATCCAGTTTTGAGCCTTTGCTGATGATGGTTATATGCAGGGTCACTCTAGGTCTTTTCTGTTTTCTTTTGACGGGAGAGTCTTGTCATATCTGTTCTGAGTGTATGGCCGATGTAGTTCCAGCGGCGCTTTTTTATTAAATTGAGAACGTTATCTTAAATATTTGTCTGGCTGCTCTCTTGATCTCTCTGACATTAGAAAAGCCTACCACAGTAGATAAACTGTCTGCATAGCTCTTGGGTCATTGGAACTTTGCCGCACTAAATGGAGTCACCTCAGAGGGGAAGTGACATATTAAACATTTAATAACGGTTAAAAGATAAAGTTAAAAACATTGTGTTTATGAAACCCGGCTGACATTTTATAATCCCAGCATAATGTCGCCTGAACTTTTCCCTTCCTCTCGTTTGTCATTGAGCTCCTCGTCTTCATTTGCCATAAAAACTGGGTAATCTCATAATTTTGTGAGTGGCTGCTGTATGCCGTAAGTTAACAAAAATCTTTATGTACCAATTTTTAAAAAAAAACTTTTTTAAGATTGCCGGAAAATCTGGAAACTTTAGTTCAAACACTGGAAATTTGGATTTTGAGTCTCCGGTGTCTGTATAAAGCTGCTAATTTTCTAATAAATTTTCCTCTCTGTAACACTGTGTATCATTGGCTCAGCAAGTTACTTTTGGCTGTTTGATTGGGGATTTCCATTTCTCAGATGTACTGTACTAAATCTGTAGTAACTGATTGCTAGAGATTAATAATTGAACACATCATAAAGTTGATTTGTCTATTTATAGTTTTCGTGTACACTTCCCTCGGGGGAAGAGGCGGGGGAGCTATCCTTTTACAAGCATGTCATAAAAGGCGACTAATTAAGGGATTGCTGAAATTTAATTTCTTGGGCTGCAAGATGCAGATATTGCAGTTAAGCTGTAAACCACAACAGATTGCCAACATCTTCCCTTTTAATTAGGGATGATTGCAGAAGTTGTAAGCTATTGAGAACTGAAGTGCCCCTCCGTCCCCGTGAATTGTTATTTTTTTATTTTTGTTGTTGAAGCATTTGTCGTATAGAATTATTGAGGTAACTGGAACAATTTCAAATGAGTGTGCTGAATTGCTGATGTTTGAAATATGTCTAGCAAGTATATAGAAATTTATATAAATTCTCTCATTTACCAAGATAACATTTTTGTTTCTTCATCTTCCTGCTGAACATGATGCTGTGCATGTAGGGAGGACAAGACATCATGTCAATGATGGGGCAACTCATGAAGCCAAAGAAAACAGAAATCACAGGTGGGCTTTAACTGTGTTTTTTCATTATGGTCTTTAGTTAGTTTCCTTTTATGCATTGGATACTACACTTCTGCAGATTTTATTGGCAGAATGGCTAACCAACTGTATATGTTGGGTTTTGTGTGTGTGTTTTTGTAATTAGCTCTTTCTGATAATTTGTAATCTGTATTGGCATACACAATCTATACATCATTAGTGTGGTTGTTTTGTTTCAATGTTGTATGTATTTTTTCCCAAGGTCTGCTTCAATGCCTCTCTTATGTCATGAACTTAACAAATCTGTCTACACATGATTAAGAAAAAAAAATTATTCTCTTACTCACTTCCTCTGTGTGACAGTTTTGCAAGATCGGCACTAGTGAATGTTTCTTTGAGTATGTACTTCTCCACAGCTAATGCAATTGTTTGCTGTATGTTCACTCTCTTATTACATTCACTTTACAAGGTTGTTCAGTTTTTTAATTCGGGTTAATACAGACTGCAGTCAACACTGCTGCAATATATATATGGTTATATGGTACATAGTTGTCAAGTACATATGAAGGTATAATGTGCATATATCTAATCTGATATTTCAGTTTAATTTGTCTTTCTCGCAATCAAAGCAGTTTTACTGCTTAAGTTCTCTGACTGCACAGAGAAACTTTTCAAGGGGTGTCTAAGTTGTCACTGATTGCAGTTATCACACACAGCTGACATAGTCAACAGCCTGAGTCTGGTGTGTGACATTTCTTCTTCTTCTTTTCGATCAGTTTCGTATGTTGAGATCAGACCATCAGGTGGGTTGCCTCTGTGAACTCTCATGTCAGCAGCAGGTCATTCATGGTTCCCCATAGCTTGCTCTTGAGGTCAGGTTTTTTTCTCTTCCAAGTTGTAGGTCTGCAGAATATGCTCAGGTGTTTGTGGTCCTGTTTGACAGGCACCCTGTGGGGACTGTACGGTCTTTATTTTATGCATGTGGTAGTTGAGCCTGCAGTGTCCTGTTTGTAGACAAAAAATGGTTGTATGTTGCTTTCTGTTGAGTCTGCTGATGGGGTCTTGTGGATGTTTACTATTAGTTTTTTCTCTCCACAATTCCTTGTATTTTTTCCTTGATAAGTGTTCTGATTTCTGGTAATGACAATCAATGGGTGCGTTGTTTCTCCTTTGTTCCATTTTTTGCAAGCCTGTCTGCTAATTGATTTCCTAATTTCGACTAATTTGGAGCATTCTTCAAAGTCACAGTCTGTCTGCCCCAGTGGCAAGGAGCAATCAACTGTACACAAATAACTAGTAAAACCTAGGTACACGCACAGCTCAGGTCCTGATACAAAGCCAGAGTCCAAATAGATGAATGTCAGGGGTCTGTGTGGCTATAGGACAATTGTAGGTGATGATAGTGACTGACGGATCACCACTTAGATAACCGCTAGCGACTAAGCATTCAGCAGCCCTGGGAGACTGCAGTATTTCTCACTCACCCTGTACACACATCAGTAGTGTTTTGTTTTTCAAGGACTAAACAGTTTTAACATGTATCGTTCTCTCACTACACAGACAAACTTCGCAAGGAGATCAACAAAGTTGTCAACAAGTACATTGACCAAGGTATAGCCGAGCTGGTGCCTGGTGTTCTGTTCATTGACGAGGTTCACATGTTGGACATTGAATGCTTCACCTACTTGCATCGAGCTCTGGAATCAACCATTGCCCCAATCGTTATATTTGCAACCAACAGGGGCAAGTGTGTCATCAGGTTAGTAGTGAATTTAGAATAAGGTTTATTTACGGTACAAAAAAGTAACAAAAGTAAAAAGTAAAGGGCCCTTTCCACACATATTGTAGGGCTAGACCTACATTTTGTAGACCAATCGGCACTCAGTGGATTGTGTGGTCTGCCCTGTCCATACTTTTCCTCCACCAACAACTGCAGACATGGCCGGTCTGTCGGCTCTTTTCTTCCATCCCGGTGACTACAGCAAAGATGGTTTCTTGCTGCGGAACTTCTAAATACTTTCGGCTCGTTCTAGTCAGAGTTGGCCAGTCTGGTTCTTCTTAAGCATGCTCATTGAATCTGTCACTGTCAGAGGTTGCAGTGTACATGGTAAAAGCTTGCTAATAGAGAGAGCATCTACGACTGGTGAGACTGATTCAGCACTAAGCATTCAGCGAGTGTGGAAGTTAGTTTGTGTGAGACAGGATAGGCAGACTTTCAGTCGGGTTTCCTCTGGCATTGTTAGTCTAACATCCCTTCATTTTCATGTTTTCATTATTGTTCAGAGAGGTTCATAATTACCAATGTGTTGAGTGACAATATGGCAGACTTCATCATTTGTAGGGACACAGCCTAAAGTTTAAATTCATGACATCCTAGATTCATTTCCTGACACTGGTGGACTTTTTAAACCCATGTCTGTCCGCGATTTAAAAAGAAAAAAAAACCAAGGCTATCAGCAAAAACATATTTACACCATACTGCATCACCAACAGATCATAGGGCTTATTTTTCATAACATTCTGTTTCTTAGAACAGGGCAGAGTCAACTTCGCAGCCATATGTACACAAAATAAAAAAATAAGGAAAATCAGCCATGTGGCTGGCACCAGATTACACCCTTTGAGACTCCCAAATTTAACATTTCAATACAGAACTTCTGGCCAAGAGAAACACTGGTGGAGGCCACATTTTATGGGGCGCTAAGTGAATTCCAAAAGACAGTTGAGAGCGTACTAGAGACAACATTGCAGGTGTAGATAATTAATTTCAAGCGAATGAAAGAAGAAGAAAACATTCTCGTTGATTTTTACGGAGACATTAGATCTACAGTTCGAAATATATCTTTGTTCACAGTAGGTTTAAGTGATTATGAAAACAGAGAGATGGATCATAAAATCCACATGCATTAAAAATGTAATCTCTTTTTTCTTGAAAAATGATCTTAAAGGGTTTTTAAATCGTCCCTCGAATTGAAGTTCTGTTGCTTTATTGTTTTATTTTTAAGTGCAGCTCTGTGGCTTAATTGGTTAGTGAAAGTGTTTAACAGTTTCATGTTGCTCGAGACATGATTTGATTTCTGTGTCAGATAGTTTATTTAAAAACTAGTTTTCATAAGTTTCCTACAATAGTATGAGTCGCACCATAAAAGAGATTGGGGCCTCACTGCATAATATTCCCAAAGACAGCAGTGGGCACACTGTAAGTGAAAAGTAAAGGACCCTTTTCCACGCCTTTAGGCATATAGGGCTAGACCTATATTTTTATAGACCAATCGGCACAAGATGGGTGATGTGGTCAGCATCCCTCTGGCCGCCTCTACTTCCCGGGACTGCACCCGGTACCCACTTAAGGCTGGGTCGACCTGGGAGTCTAGGTCACTTTTGAAAAAAAAAGTCCGGCTCCGCCAGGGAGCGAACCCACGACCTTCCGATCCGCATCTAGCTGCTCAGCCACATGGACTCCCGAAGGGCACACTGTAGCCAGCCTTTATTGTGAAGATGGTACCAAATTTATTCGCTGCTAGAGAGAGAGAGTGGGATCTCAGCTGTTTCACATTGATCACATTGATAATTATCCTTATGTACAGTATATTCCCCAAGGGGGCTCTGGGGCCTTGTGAGGGGGGGGGGGCTCCTAAAATGCAGTCATATAAGGTGACAAGGTGTGTTTCCATCGAAGTGCATCTGCCTGAGAAGCAAGGAACCAGCAGTCTGCACATAAATCAAGCAAGTCAGATCTGTAAAACAAAAGGGGATGAACAACTGGATCTTTACAGCCGGTGAACACGAATAGGGAGACGACACACTGAAATCTGTGTTGTGTTAATTTGTTGTTTGTTGTTTATTCTGGCTATAGAGGAACAGAAGACATTGCAGCCCCTCATGGCATGCCCTTGGACTTGTTAGACAGGATCATGATCATCAGGACTCTTCCGTATTCACAAGAGGAAATGATGCAGGTAGGATAGCAGTTGGTGAATTTTATCAATAATTACCCTGATTGGCCAGTGTTTCCCAAACATTCTAAGTTGCAATGCCGATTTTTTAATAAACAAATTTTCCACGGCGCCCTAACCTAAGTAAAAGTATTACTATTTGTATGTAAGAGATTAAAAAAAAATTGTGAATCTTCTAACATTTCGCGGCGCCCCCTGTGAAGAGGTTGCTGCTCCCCAGGGCGCTGTGTTTGGGAATCACTGCTTTAGGTGGATAAAGTGGTATCCAATCAGGCATCATGAAATTATTACCACTGCATTTTTAAAAAAATAGTCTTTTCTGTTTTTGTTATTGTAATGTTTTAAGCATCTTTTTTTTAAAAAAAATAATTACCGCTTGTAATATCGTGAGTATAGTGGGGTGAGGGGACCTTAACACAGAATATTGGTGAGCAGCTAAACAAAAGAAATGACACACAGATAGAAGCTTTACAGGTTTGCCATAAAGTCTAATTTAAAGTCCTATTAAAGGTATTCCAATGCACCAATGAGCAGCTGGACAAAAGAAATTACACACAGATGTGAGCATTTTGATGTGTGTGTGTATATGAGAGCTGCCTTGGTGTCGCGGCTAGATGCTCGCCTGCAGATGGGAAGGTTGTGGATTCAGATCTTGACGGAGCTGGACCTTTTTTTTTTTTTAATTAGAAAAATGACCTTGACTCTTAGGTCAACCCAGCCTTGGATGAGTACCAGGTGTCAGCATGTTTGTATTTGTATGTATATATGTATGTATATATGTGTATATATGAATGTTTGTATGTATATATATATATATATATATATATATATATATATATATATATGTTTGTTTGTATGTATATATGTGTATGTATGTATATATATGTTTGTTTGTATGTATATATATATGTGTGTATGTATATATATGTATGTTTGTATGTATGTAAATATATATATGTTTGTTTGTATGTATATATATATGTATGTGTGTATATGTATATATATGTATGTGTGTATATGTATATATATGTATGTGTGTATATGTATATATATGTATGTGTGTATATGTATATATATATATGTGTGTGTATATGTATGTATATATGTGTGTATATATGTATGTATATATGTGTATATGTATGTGTGTATATATATGTGTGTATATATATGTGTATATATATGTGTATATGTATGTGTGTATATATATGTGTATATGTATGTATGTATATATGTGTATATGTATGTATATATGTGTATATGTATGTATATATATGTATGCATATATATATGTATGAATATATATATATATATGTGTGTGTGTGTGTGTGTGTATGTATGACATTGAGAGGCATACGATGGACTCTGTTCACCATGCTTGAGGACCTTGATTTTGCAGATGATATAGCACTCCTGTCACATAAACATGAACACATACAAGAGAAAAATAACAGACTACACAGCACAGCAGAAATGGTGGGACTGAGAATAAATACAAAGAAAACTAAGATCATGACAAGCAGTCCAAACCAACAACCAGTGACCATAAATAACCAAACTCTTGAAAATGTAGAACATTTTACATATCTTGGCAGTGTGATGTCCCTGCCTGGAGGGACCGAAGAGGACATACAGTCACGTCTGAACAAAGCTAGAGCTGCTTTTGGAAGAATGAGGCAAATCTGGAAATCCAACAATTACTGCACAGGAACAAATCTGCGACTCTACAAGAGCATCATTTTGCCAGTTCTTCTTTATCGAGCGGAATGCTGGAGAATGACTAAAAAAGGATGCACACAAGCTGTCCACCTTTCACCACACATGTCTACGTAGAATTATCAAAATTTTCTGGCCAGATACAATCTCAAACACTAAACCAAGAGAAGATGGAAATGGCTTGGCCACGTTATGAGAATGAATCCTGATATACCCGCCAAAACAGATCTCACATGGACACCAGAGGGAAAGAGAAATCAGGGACGTCCAAAGACAACATGGAGACGAACGATGGAAAGTGACCTGAGTGCGGCATCTGTAGTTTGCACAGGACAGGAAAACATTTAAAGTCCTCTCCGAAGCCTCATGTGCCACTAGGCATAACGAGAACTGATGATGATGATGATATATGTATGTATATATATATAAATCTAGTTTGTATTTATCAGATAATGTTTGCTCTCACAGATACTTAAAATCCGAGCACAGACAGAGAGTATTCAGATTGATGATGAGTCCCTAAAGATACTGGCCAGCACTGGGGTCAAGTCCACTCTCAGGTGAGCATATCCTGTTTGACAGTCTGTAGATTTGCCAAAAAGTATGAGCATGTCCTTTTGACAGACTGACTCCTCGCTACCTCCGGTCAAAATGGACGTTACGCAGTTACTGTTGTGAGCCACGGCAAATTTTTGTGCTTCTGCCAGACAGTGGTCGGTGCATTTTTGCTCCATTTGTAGACTGAAAGGATAGTTTTGTCGCCCAGCTTCTAAGTTGAGTGCATGGCTTGACACCGAGCTGCAGATTTCATTTGGAATGTTTTTCTACTGTGGCCAACATGGTGGTCTAAATTCAGTGTAGATTCAGAAAATGGCGCGATGCCTGTTGTCGCAATATTGGTGGTGCCATTATGTGATTAAAGTTGATCGCGCATGCAACTGCTGACTGCTACCATCCACGTTGAACTGCATTTCTTATGCCGGACAGTTTGTGTTAGCACTTCGGATGGCTACTGTATGCTTTTAATACGTGTGTATGCTAGTTCAAATGCTGAGACAGCAGTCTGTCAATCTTCCCACAAGGGACTGTGATAAACATTATGTGTGTTTTTCATAAGCACAGGAGCGGAGCAACTATATGGTGACCCGTTGTGCAATGAAGCCAAAACTAAGATTACCAGATTTTGACAGTCTATAGATTTGCCATAAGGTATGAGCATGTCCTGTTAAAGATATATCAGTGCTCCTCAGAGTTTTCTTTTTATACACTAAGTCATTGTCATTCTCTTTCCTCTCACCACCGAACCATCTTTATAGATAATCAGATCACCTGGGCGAGAATTGTGAATTTTCTTCAGAGATCGCTTGCGGTATGTCTGCTCTGGCATGGGACACAAACAGGGTATTGTACTAGCGGCCCTCACAAGTGCCTCGTAGTTAGTCTTGTAGAATATCCCCTCTGGGCAGTATTGTAAGACATGCTTTCCCTAATGCTACACATCTGCATGTGGCAGAGTCCATGAGACCCATTCGTTGAGAGTGCCCTGTGAGTTTATAGTGTTCCATTCTGTGTGAAAATTCTGGTGTTCATGTACCAGCTAGGCTTACTCACGCTGGGTTCATAATTGTTATATTTTAATTCCTGTCCAGGAATACCAGCTAATTGCCTGGAAATAGTGAAGCAGAATGCTGACCTCATGCAATATCCTGTAATGTATTTATGACTTGTGTCTCACAGCTTAACTGTGCATCTACTACGAAACTATACATGTACCCTAGTTTATCTGAATGCTAACTGCTTTATCATATTATACAGGTACGCCGTCCAGTTGCTGACACCTGCCAACGTCATGTCTCGGATCAACGGCAAGGATTCTGTCACCAAGGAAGAGGTCGATGAGATAGCCAGTCTGTTCTATGATGCCAAAACCTCAGCCAAGATTCTGGCAGAACAAGACAGCAAGTACATGAAGTAGGCACACAGTCCTGTCTCCTATAGGCTGGAGTGTGCCAGGACCGCTTGTTAACTCTTTCAGATCTAGATAGATACAGTCTAGCCTATTCTGTCCTTGAACGTTTTTTTCTTGCAGTAATTAATGTTGGGTCAGGGTGGCTGAACATAACAGTACTTTGAGAGAGATTAACAACCGGGTTATGTGGGGTTGAAAAAAAATAGTGTAAGTAGAATTCAACAATGGCCTGGTGATTTGCAGGGCACTGAAAGAGTTAATATAATTGAATTTGAGATTCATGTGTGAAAGTTAATGTTGAAGAGTATGTGTGAGGTAGTTGTCCTGTCTGGTTTGTCTGAGATCATGCCCCGTCATCTGAAGGTTGGACTGTTCTAGAGCCGTTTTTATTTGGTTTCATTTGAATCTGAGATTCATGTATGAACTGGATCGAATGACGAATGAATGGATGACCTAGCAGTATGCACTGTCTGATATAGGGTGGACTCTCACAGGACCAGTGGTCTACTTCAGTTGAGTTTGAGATTCAGGTGCGGATGGAGGTGAATGCTGAACGAGTGTGGATGAAGTGGCAGGATGTCCTGTATGTTGAGGGTAGACTGTCTGGGAACTTGCATTATCTGCTGAAGGGTGGGCTGACCCAGGACCTTTTGATCATATCGATTCAATTGGATTCAGTTGTATATGAAACTGAGTGCTGAATTATAAAGAGTGAATCCACAACAGCTATGGATTGTAACTTGTGCTGGTCTGTAGTAACTTTTGAGTATCTCTATGGTAACTTTTGAGTATCTCTATGGTAACTTTTGAGTATCTCTATGGTAACTTTTGAGTATCTCTGTGTGGCATTTATATCTTTTTCTGATGATTCTAAAAAAGCATAGATCTTCAGCCAGTGAACACCAGATTTTACCATTCTTCACAATATGTCCACCATTATTTTCATTTGTTTGGCTTTTGTGGCCAAAGTTTTTTTTTTTTACAGGATTTGTATAAACTTCACTGTACCTGTCCTTTTCAAATACATTTAGTGTTTCACAATTTCAAATCTTTATTGACTTTTGATTCAAAATGGCACACGGGCAGATGGACTGTTCCAGCTTTGGCATGTTGTTTGCTTGTGCTATGGTTTGTTGTTACATTTTCTTTCCATTTGTGGACCGAAAGTGTTTAGTTCCATCGCCCAGCTACTGTTGAGTGCATTGTGTGACACTTTGAGCTGTGAATTTCATTTGGAATTCCATCTGCCCCCAAGGTGGTGGTTGTGAACTGCAAATTCAGATAATAGCGAGTGGTCTGATGCACAGAACTGATGGTGTCTAATGCAATAAAGCTTCCATTGATGATGAACTGCAGTTCTTGTGGAGGACTTATGTTTCCTTACAAAGATCAGTGATGTGCATTCTGTATGGGGTTTTTTGCTAGCACAAGAATATAATAGATCAGTTATGAGATAGCTAACAAATTATTCATTGATCACCTGATGCTATTTTCTGTTTATGTATTAGTCATAACAATATGCAAAGTTAGAGATCTTCCTGGGCACTATATTTATTTTCTGACATCTTCACTTTTTCTCCAGTTTTCAGTTCAGAAAGTGTTGCACTTGTGCATTCACTTGTTTATGTCTTTAATTGACACAATTGCTGATGACACCTTATAACCGAGCTTTGCTAAAAAAAAATTGTCACATTTAACCAGCATCCTGGAAGAGGTAACTTCAGGTTTTAATTGACTAGGTTATGTGCGCTATATAAAATGGCTCAGCATTGCACGCTACCAAGAGCCCTGAAAAGGACTCCTGCAGTGTAGATGCAATCAACGGAGACAAACAGGGCCCAAATACTGCCCCTGACCGGTGACAGATCTGCCAGCGAGCCACTGGCGATCCAATCGCTGAATGAAGTAACGAACAAACTTTATTTTCAAAGGGTCACAAATTCGGCCTATCTTTTACACAGCAGTTGTATTTTATCAATAAAACATGTTATATTCATATAATAATATGCATGTTATGAATATCAAGAAGATAATGACCTTATAGCACACTAACAGGTTGTAAATATTTGGTTACATACCAGCATAGCTGTTTCTAGCAAGGATACCTCTCTCGTAGAACAAGTAGACATAGATGACCTAAATAAACCTAGAGGACAGGGCAAAAGAAAAGCAGCGAGAGGGCAGCAATATCACCTGTGAATGCCTTGTGTGTCAGCAGTGACATGAAGAGAGAGAAAGAGAGCATTGCTGTATGTCTGACAGCTAAGTTTATCATTATATAAAAGGTGTTGTCATTAACATGTCATGCTTGCTTTACAACTTTGGTTTTTAACTGTGTTTATACAGCCTTTCAGAGTTAATTTGTACTGACAGGAAATAAAATGTTTCCTAGCTGTGCATACTTGAGTGGGATTATATATTGATGTTCAGTTTGTTAATTTTTTTATTGCTTGGCAGCTAGCTGATTTCTTTTTCTTCTTCTTTTCCTCTTCCACCTTCTACCTCAGTGATCAGACGAGATATAGTCAGGAATGTCTGAATGAAGTCAGAGAAAGGGTCGGCACAGAACCAGTACTATGAGGGCAAGTCATTAAGTAAAGGCAGTCTGCATGGAACAGTATGCAGAAGAAAAAATATTTCAGGTCCCAGAATGGCCTCTTTGCAATAGCCACAGTACATGTTGTGATGTATGAGCTTGCGCAACACTTGTACAAGACGGCCACATCACTTAACATACACAGTAGACAAGCAGAAAGGTTTCACAATTTGAACCCAAGACGTCAAATAAAAACCCATTAATGGCAGTCTTGGTTGTCCCCAGGCATTAACCGGGTCCGGTAAATTTTACGCTAGTCTCCCCATTTACACACCGCCACACACTAGCTCACTTCTGATTGGACGACCTGTTGACCACGTCACTTTTGATAAGTCTGCCTTGAACGATACGACTTTCACACAAGGTCACGGGGATATTTCGCTCGTTGAATATTTCACCATGACAGAGCTTTCAACACTTCTAACAACATTTAGATACTGGGTCTAACACACAACCCCCTAGAGAGTGACAAACCTATGTCACAGGCCGTCTCTTTCTCGGAAGTAAAAACGTAAAGCCAGACAACAGACTGCGACACCCATAACCTTGACCACGGTAGACTAGTCCAACCAACTTATCAATGGAGTTGACCTACAACCAGTGGTGTGTAAATTGGGAGACCATCGTAACAATAACCCGGGGTCCAAACCAACAGCCTCCGATCCAAGCTCTTTCCTGCACTTTACACTGCGACAGCTGTGCTACTGCACGACTCTTGACAGTGTGGTTGGACAGACCACGTCGCTGCACCGAGTCGCTTGAGTACTAGGCCCACGAACTCGTTCTGGTCTTCTTTACTGCTAACCCCCCCCCCCCCCCTTTTTTTTTTGCAAACCTCTTTACCGAGATATTGATTTTTTTTAAAGGTCAGTTAAAAATAGGAACATAAAGGAAAAAAACGTTTGTTTACGAGAAAATAAAATGAAGGAAGCTGCAGGAGATGCGGTAGCTGCTGCTCGTGAGCCCTAGCCATCGTGGGAGGAGGAGATACTCTGGGCGGTGGTCGCCGGGAGTGCGCAATTTAAGTTGCCAGGAGTCCGAAATATACATGAGACTGAGGCCCTGTTAAGGTATATATTTTCGGCCTCGATAATTTGAGACCTTCATTCGGAGGGAAGCCAAAAATATTTTAGCATAAATCAAACAACCTAGAAGCTCTAAACAATAACAAAATTACCAACCTAGAAGCTCTAAAAAATAACAAAATTAACAACCTAGAAGCTCTAAACAATAACAAAATAAACAACCTACAAGCTCTAAAAAATAACAAAATAAACAACCTAGAAGCTCTAAACAATAACAAAATTGACAACCTAGAAGCTCTAAACAATAACAAAATAAACAACATAGAAGCTCTAATCTAAACAAAAACAAAATTAACAACCTAGAAGCTCTAAACAAAAACAAAATTAACAACCTAGAAGCTCTAAACAATAACAAAATAAACAACCTACAAGCTCTAAACAATAACAAAATTACCAACCTAGAAGCTCTAAACAATAACAAAATTGACAACCTAGAAGCTCTAATCTAAACAAAACCAAAATTAACAACCTAGAAGCTCTAACTCTAAACAATAACAAAAATAACAACATAGAAGGTCAAAACAATAAGAAAATGAACAACCTAGAAGCTCTAAACAATAACAAAATGAACAACCTAGAAGCTCTAAACAATAACAAAATAAACAACCTAGCAGCTCTAAACAATAACAAAATGAACAACCTAGAAGCTCTAAACAATAACAAAATGAACAACCTAGAAGCTCTAAACAATAACAAAATGAACAACCTAGATAAAGTACAACCAATAAACAACTAGACCTAGAAGCCAGAAGCTCTAAACAATAACAACCTAACAAGCTCTAACTCTAAACAATAACAAAAATCTAACAACATAGAAGGTCAAACAATAACAAAAAAATGAACAACCTAGAAGCTCTAAACAATAACAAAATGAACAACCTAGAAGCTCTAAACAATAACAAAATGAACAACCTAGAAGCTCTAAACAATAACAAAATGAACAACCTAGAAGCTCTAAACAATAACAAAATGAACAACCTAGAAGCTCTAAAAAATAACAAAATTAACAACCTAGAAGCTCTAAACAATAACAAAATAAACAACCTACAAGCTCTAAACAATAACAAAATTAACAACCTAGAAGCTCTAAACAATAACAAAATAAACAACCTACAAGCTCTAAACAATAACAAAATTAACAACCTAGAAGCTCTAAACAATAACAAAATTAACAACCTAGAAGCTCTAAACAAAAACTAAATTAACAACCTACAAGCTCTAAAAAAATAACAAAATAAACAACCTACAAGCTCTAAACAATAACAAAATTAACAACCTAGAAGCTCTAAACAATAACAAAATTAACAACCTAGAAGCTCTAAACA